CTTAAAGAAGAAAAGTCACTTGATCCAGGGACAGTCCGCATATAGACTGGCCTATTCCAGGCATAGGCAAACTCAGCCCTCCAGATGTTTTGGGACTACAACTCCCACCATCCCTAGCTAACAGGACCAGTGGTCAGGGATGATGGGAGTTGTAGTCCCAAAACATCTGGAGGGCCGAGTTTGCCTATGCCTGGCCTATTCCCACCTCTTTTTCTGAATGGTGACTGCTCCTGCTCAGGCTTCACAGAAAAAGCATTTTGGTTCCAGAAATTCATTCTGATTTTGCAGATAAAATAGAACGGATAGAATTCCACAGGATGGGGTGCTAGTGTGTGAAAATGGCCCAGATCCATATGGTGGCGATGTCAGGTGCCATCTTGGCGTCCAGGCGTCTTCACTTGGCTACAAGTGGTTGAAAGTCAGGTGCAAAATAAGCCTGGCTTATCTCAAACACTGGTTGCAAGTAAGAAGTCTGGAAGGCACAGAGGAAATCAAGCCCAAAGTTGGAGGGGCAATGCCTCATTTGCCCTAATGGACTAGCCTCCCCTGTTAAACCAGGAATCTCCTGTGTGCTTAAAGAAGATATAAGACATCATCACACAACCAAGGATCATAGAACGATAATAAAGGTAAAGGGACCCCTGACCATTAGGTCCAGTCATGGCCGACTCTGGGGTTGCGGCGCTCATCTTGCTTTATTGGCCAAGGGAGCTGGTGTACAGCTTCCGGGTCATGTGGCCAGCACGACTAAGCCGTTTCTGGCGAACCAGAGCAGCGCACGGAAACACTGTTTACCTTCTCGCCGGAGCGGTACCTATTTATCTACTTGCACTTTTTGGGGTGCTTTCGAACTGCTAGGTTGGCAGGAGCAGGGACTGAGCAACGGGAGCTCACCCCGTCGTGGGGATTCGAACTGCCGACCTTCTGATCGGCAAGTCCTAGGCTCTGTGGTTTAACCCACAGCGCCACCTGCGTCCCCATAGAAAGCTCTTTAAATAAACAATTACAACCAGGGAAAGATGCATATGTCGGGCAGGCAGGCTGTCTTGTTGGTTGGGGAGATTTTTATTTATTTATTTTAGTAGGGAATGGTGCAGCAGCGAGAGAAGGAAGGAGCCGGGCTTGGCAGAGGATGAAAAGGAACCTGATTTGGAAGAAAAGAACGGCGTCAATTTAAAACGTGGAAGAAAGATTGCACTGCAGAATCATAAGGGAAATGGAGAGACTGCCAGAGCGCTTGCCAAGCACGGCATAAAGACATATAACCGTACAATAGGAGAAGCAAATTACTGCAGATAAGTGGTATTTATGAGACGACAAACTGGTAGCATGATCCAAATTCCATTCAAGTAATGGGCTTCTCAGAGACCGCTTCCTGAAAACCATGAATGGATTTTCAAGGACAAACCAACAGCACTGAAAGCTGTGCATCTGGGGAGAGGGGTGTGTGTGTGTCTGTGTGAACAGCCCTCAACATGCTTCCTTGGAAATAGACATGGGTAGTCTGGATCTTACTGACTGCCCAGGCTGAACCCAAAGAGTATTGGGTATTGAGCCCCAATATTTCCCCAACAACATTTACTCGTTGTCACCCTTTTGGTCTCTAAAGAAGTACATGCTCGCAGCAGGAATTTTATAACTGAGGATCCTGTTTAATAGGAAAATAAAGTTGTGACCTTTTATGCCAGTTCTTCTCTCTCCCTTCTTTGCCCTGTGATGCGAGGGAAACAATAAATAAATAAATAAATAGGGATAATTAATGGCTTGAGAATTCTGCCATTCTGCTATTTTACGTTCTACCATTTTAGGATTTTGCCACTTATTCATCTGTTGTTATTGTTGTTGTTGTTGTTTGTTTGTTATATTATATCCCACCTTGTCTCCAAAGAGTTCAAGGTGGGGGGACATGATGTGGCCCCCATTTTATACTCACAACAACTCTTTAGGCAAAGAGACAGTGATTGGCTCAAGGTCACCCTGTAAGCCACGGGTAGGCAAACTAAGACCCGGGGGCTGGATCCGGCCCAATCGCCTTCTAAATCCGGCCCGTGGACAGTCTGGGAATCAGCGTGTTTTTACATGAGTAGAATGTGTCCTTTTATTTAAAATGCATCTCTGGGTTATTGCATAGCTGTCAACTTTTCCCTTTTCTTGCGAGGAATCCTATTCAGAATAAGGGAATTTCCCTTAAAAAGGGGAAACGTTGACAGCTATGGTTATTTGTGGGGCCTGCCTGGTGCTTTTACATGAGTAGAATGTGTGCTTTTATTTAAAATGCATCTCTGGGTTATTTGTGGGGCATAGGAATTCGTTCATTATTATTTTTCAAAATATAGTCCGGCCCTCCACAAGGTCTGAGGGACAGTGGACAGGCCCCCTGCTGAAAAAGTTTGCTGACCCCTGCTGTAAGCTTTCTGGCTGAGTAGGGATTTGAACCTGGTTTCTCAGGTCCTAGGCTGATGCCTAGGAAGGAAATCAGCCCTGGAAGGACAGATCATGAAGCTGAGGCTCCAATACTTTGGCCATCTCATGAGAAGAGAAGACTCCCTGGAAAAGACCCTGATGTTGGGAAAGATGGAGGGCACAAGGAGAAGGGGACGACAGAGGACAAGATGGTTGGACAGTGTTCTCAAAGCTACCAGCATGAGTTTGACCAAACTGCGGGAGGCAGTGGAAGACAGGAGTGCCTGGTGTGCTCTGGTCCATGGGGTCACGAAGAGTTGGACACGACTAAACGACTAAACAACAACAAGGCTCTTAACCACTATCCCACATTCCAGCCTCCCCACCTCCACCCACTGCAAGCGCAGCAAGGGCCTCGGCAACCAAACCTGAGGTACGATGTTAAAGAGTATTTCTAAAAGCATTGCATTAAATATTTACAAAACTATTTACCTCGGCAAGAGAAGGAGAGATGGAGACTGACAGGATAATCCTGAGAAATTGAACTTTATCCTTAAAGGGTATACTGACTACATTCTCTTCATAAACCTTTTGTACCACAGGTAGGCAGTTTATGACCGTATCATAGGATGTATTGATCTGTGTATGACAGTCAGATGAAACCCACTTCCACAGATTGTATGCAGAACACTCTGCTATGGATCCCAATATTGTCAACCATCAGGTATTTGACATCGACTATGTGGAAGTCAGTATCAATATTTGATTCGTCTGTTTTTGATATTCAGTATTTGGCTCTGTGGTTATTTGTTTCATTTATTTGTGCTCGGATTTTCTATGAATAAAAAATATATTCAAGGAGGCGAACAAAATAAACAGTAACAGAACGGTTATCAAAACGACAACCCATAAAACAACAAAAAAGTAAAAATAAATAAAATGACAGCAGTGGTAGAAACCGTCGCTAAATGCCTCATCATCCAATTAGTGGCATGCATGAGCGGATGAACCAGAGTGAAATTGACAGTGAAATTGGGAGAAAAATGAAGTCTTAATAGTCCATCTGTATGAAAACATTGCAACCTACCATCTTAAAGTAAAAAAGCTGCAAGGATCTCACATTGCAAAATAAGAAGATGCCAGATATTAAGTCAGACTATTGGTCTATCCTATTGTCCACAATGACATACTGCTCAACCATCCCAATTTGAGCAGGACATCCCAGAATTCTAGAAGCTATCCTGGCTTCTGATTGGATCCCGGAATGTCCTGTCTTTCACTCTGGTGTGAGCCAGCTGTCTTGCGCCAGAGTGCCAGACCAAAAGACATTCTTTCTTTTCCTTTTTTTGGTATTGCACTCTTGGGCGAGGCAACTAGCTCAGAACCATAAAACGAGCATCCTGATTTTGATCAGTGGGCTGTTGAAGGGTAGGCACTGGCTGGGGACAGCTATCCAGAGTTTCAGCTAGGGGACATTCCCAGTCCCACCAGGACGTGCAAGGGATCTCTGTTGCACCCAACAGGTGGGCTGTTAGTTAGATCAATCAGGGTTCATCCTGTGTTCTGGTTGCTTCACCTCAGAAAGGATATGGTAGCAGGGGCATAGGAAGGGGGTGCGGGGGGTGCCCTTCGCCCCGGGTGTCATCCCTGAGGAGGTGACAAAATGGCACACCACGGGGGGCAGCACTTACCGCCGAGCCTGGCCTGCACCACGCCCGTGCCACGTGTCTCTCCTAGGAGTGATGCAGTAGCTTGGTGCCCTGTGCTGCCCAAAACAGCAGCATGGGGCTTGCGTCTGCCAGGTGGGCTCTGTGGGCAGCTTGCTGCGGCGCCCCCCTGGGTGGATTGCTGAAGTGCCCCTGTGGGTGGATCGCCCCACCCCAGCCACTCTGGGTGCCGGAGCAGCTAGCTACACCCCTAATCCCAACCAGAAAAGAATGGAAAACCAAGTTGATGGATTATGCTGCAATTACAAAATTAACTGGGTAGCTCAGAAATCAAGAGGACAATAACTTTAAAAAAGAATGCGAAAAGATTATTATCTATTTACGAGACCATTGTAAGCAGGTTAAAACGTTAGGAGGATTTTAACCACACTTGTAAAGTAACGGAAAGTATGGATAATTTGGAAGGACAAAAGTTTGGACAAGCATTGATATGCAGTCGTAGATATTATCATTAGGACCCATGGAAGGAATGGGGTGGGGGGAGTCAGGAGATTCAGAGCAATCTCGATATCTGGATCTTGAATTATTTTTTGTTGTATGTTTAAAATTTTTAAAATCAAATTTAAAAATTATTTAAAAAGAATAAGAAAAGGTGAGTCAGAGGTGAAATGACAGAAGTTTTTGAAATTATGCATGCCATGGAGAAAGTGAGTAGAGAAAAGCTTTCCTCCCTCTCTTGGGGGCATCCAATGAAGCACTAATAAATACAAACGTTTCTTCACAGAGCACATAGTTTAACAATGGAACTTGCTCCCACAAGGAGGTCATGATGGCTTTGAAAGATGATGAGACAAATTAATAGAATTGTAGAGCTGGAAGGGAACCGGAGGATCATCTCGCCCAACGCCCTGCCATGCAGGAACATGCCGCTGCCCCATACAGGGATCGAACCTGCAACCTTGGCATTATCAGCACCACACTCTAACCAACAGAGCTATCCAGGCTGAGGCTATCAACAGCTACTAGGCCTGATGGCTGTGCTCCAGCTCCACTGTCAGAGGCAGTATGCTTCTGAATACCAGTTGCTGGAAACTGCAGGAGAAGAGAGTGTTGTTGCAGTCATGTCCTGCTTGTTGCTTCCCTACAGGGATGTGGCTGGTCATTGTGAGAACAGGATGTTGGACTAGATCAGGCATAGGCAAACTCCCATCATCCCTAGCTAACAGGACCAGTGGTCAGGGATGGTGGGAATTGTAGTCCCAAAACATGTGGAGGGCCAAGTTTGTCTATGCCTGGACTAAACGAGCCTTTGGCTTGATCCAGAAGGCTCTTCTTATGTTCTTATGAAGGAAGATGCAAGACGACTTTAACGTGGCATTTGCCTTGAAGATGGAGATATTGAAATGACAGGTTACTGCTAACACAGTAACTCAAGTTCTACATTTCTAGTTCTTTTGTAAAAATACACACACACAATCCATCACAACCACAGCATTCCTTTAAAGGAAAGGATGAGGACACAGAAAATGGGAAATCCTCTGCAATGAATTAGATGGAGTGAGACCTCTGGAAAATTGCCCTTTGAGGGGGTTTTTTGGGGGGGAGGCCTATTTTGAAGAATGCAGATAATGAAGGAGAAGAAGCCACCCATCACGCTTTGAGCAAGAAAAACTTGGGGAAGTAATTAGTGCAGCAAATGCTCTAATGAGAAGCCTTGTAAAAGGGTTCCCTCTAGGTTGCTCGCTGCGATGGCGCTGTGGAATTAAAGCCATTATGTTTCAAATGCAACTTGTTAAACCACTTAACGCTATCAGCAGTTTTGTGTTTGTGTGTGCACAAAACAGTGCCAAGACACTCTTGCAAACATCGCTCTCACCTTATTCAGTGAAGAATCCATTAAATTTTACAACAGGTGAGACAGTAGGGTCGCCCAAGTGTAAAAATCTATTGCTGTGCAGAATCTCTTGCTCCTTTCTCACTGGAGGATACACAGAGCTGTTGTAGTGTTTGAAAAAGCTCATTTGGTGGCTAGTTTAATTTGGTTCTCAAGATACCACTTTTCTTAAGAGGTTTCCTCTCACAGTGGCCCATTTTGAAGAAGCAATGGGTAGTATCCAGTTAAGGATTTCCACCTAAAACAATGAAATTTAACTCTTCCCCCCTCATTCCTCCCCTTGCACATTATACACCCTACCCAAACTGGTCCAGAGGGTTGGGTGGGAAACCCAGAACAGATTTAGGGAGTGCACAGTGGGAGGAGGGGGTGGTTTGCTGGGCAGGCAAAAATCCTTGCATTGATGGTAAGGTAAAAAGGTAAAGGACCCCTGGATGGTTAAGTCTAGTCAAAGGCGACTAGGGGGTGTGGCACTCATCTCAGTTTTCAGGCTGAGCAAACCGGTGTTTGTCCACAGACAGCTTTCCAGGTCATGTGGCCAGCATAACTAAACCGCTTCTGGTGCAACAGAACACCATGACGGAAACCAGAGCACACGGAAACGCTGTTTACCTTCCTGCCACAGCAGCACCTATTTATCTCCTTGCACTGGTATGTTTTCACACTGCTAGGTTGGCAGGCGCTGGGACAGAGCAACAGCAGCTTACTCCATTGCACAGATTCAAACCACCAACTTTCTGATGGGCAAGCCCAAGAGGCTCAGTGGTTTGAACCACACTGCCACCTGCTTCTTGTGACATCTGATACATCCCAATGACCCTGTGATCTTGTCTACATATGGAGCGCTTGTTGACAGCGGTGGAGTTTAAAAAAATGCACATTAAAATATTCATTTTTTAAATTACAGTTATTATTTGTAGTATTTTACTTAAATCTGATCCTAGATGTAAATAGGAACATAGGAAACTGCCTTATATTGAGTCGGATCAATGGTCCACCTAACTCCATATTGCATACACTCTGGCAGGCAAGTAGCTCTCCAGGGTTTCAGAAAGGCCCAACCTGGAGATGCTGGGAATTGAACCTGGAACATTCGACATGCAAGGTAGATGCTCTACCACTGAGCTACAGCCCTTCGCTTCCCAGTAGGATGGCAGACCCTCTGCTCTTGGTGAGGGCACTTCTTGGTGAGAGCAAGAAGAGGGCTGTAGGGTAACCAACCCCATATAACTGGCAAACTTGAGTCTAATTAATGCATGAAGGGGTTAAAGCCATAGAGTAAACTGTCCTGTCAGGCTTAGCTTATGCCACTTCCCCTCACCTTGAGAGGTAATGGGCCGCCAAGCCTTTTGTTTCCTCAGTCTATATGCGAATTCAGTGTTCCAGCTCAGCCACATGGCTTGAGGATCCCTCGAGTTGAGGGTTCCCTATTGCTTGTATGCTCTTGTATCTTCTCCCTCTTGCAACTGAAGGGGGAAAGCATTATTCTGTCTAGATCTGGTCTCCATTTGTAACTCACTGTGATGTTTTGTTTTGATTTTTTTAAATTAAAAAGAAAAGCTGTATCACATTAAATTGGAAGAATGCTTTCTAAAGAAATTAATATTTGTTTCGGTGGCTGAAGCTTTAGCGGAACTGATTGTCTGAAGGTGATTAACATGTGGTTCTAATTTGACGAAGGTTTTCCCAAAGGGCTAGTATGCTAAAACAAATCAGATGTGTTGCATTGATTAATGCAGCTGTTTTGTCAATATAACCCAACCATTTGTCAATTAAATCAAATAATTGGGCCAACTGACGTAGTTACCAGATGTACAGAGAGCACAGAGAACAATGGAGGGGAAGCTGGAGGTGGGGGAGCAGTGGCGTGATAGGATGGGACAATGGGAGTGCCTTTTCCTGGTGCAACCTGGACAGGTGTGTAATATTCTATAATTCGTTTGTATTCTGCCTTTCATCAAGCAAAGCCCCCAAGGTGTCTCACACAGGGTTATCTCAGATACCAAAATCCAAACAGTACAATAAAATACGACTTAGAAAAAGTGGTGACAAAGCAATACACTAAGGCAAAAAAAACAAAACAAAAACCAATGCCAAAAGAGAACAGGTGTCAGGCAGCAGAGGAACCAACCCCCACAGCAGGTTGTCAGGAATAGACAAGACAAGGGAAAGTTCTTACCAACTGCGTTTTATTCAATAGGTGAAAACTCAGATACCCATTTGCATCAAGGGGCATCAAGAGGCTTCATTGACCTGAATGAAGCTTCCTTCTGAATTGACAGATATAGAATGCTGCAGTTAACAGGGGCAAATTCCTTCTGGCAGAACTCAAAACTGAAAGCCTGATATTTGCTTTGGGTGAGGCAGTGCCAGATTTACGTATAAGCTAAACAAGCTACAGCTTAGGGCCCCACTCTCTTGGGGGCCCCCAAAAAATTAAAGGGGAAAAAACTTGATGTACATTTCCAAAATATAAGATGAAAAGCAAATAAAATAAAACCTACATACAGCAACAGTGTTTTGTGCTATGTGGGCTCCTAAGATGTAAGTAATGGGCCCCACCTGCTAGCCTGCTCCCTAAAATATCACTCATTTGCTCCTTTCTATATATAGGGTGCCTACATTCTGCATGGACTGGTTGCATGGCAACATGTGCAAATAGCTTGAGATATCTATTAGGTCCATAAATTACCATTTAGCATATATTCAACACAAAAAAACAGCAACAATTTGTTGTTGACAAATGACAGCTGGACATATAAAGGGCCCCATTACCTTCAGTAGCTTAGGGCCTCATCAAACCTAAATCTTGCCCGGGGGGGCGGGGGATGAAATTGTTGCCCCAAAGAAGCGCTTTTTGGGGACAAGAGCGCATGAGATTTCAGCACCTAAAATGGCCACTGAGATCTTGTGGGGGGAAAGATGTGAGCTCCCATTTATTTTGGGACACTTGGAAGATATGCCCTTTCATTTTTATTTTTATTTTAAAGGCACATGGCATTATGCATGTCTGCTTTTCCACATCTGAACAACAACATTCGTTTCACTCCTAATTACAGAAGATTTGAAGACTGGGGACAGTAGAGATGGTTTAGGGACCCCCCCCCCAGTTATTTATTTACCCCCATTTTGTCCTGGTAAATTCTGCCCTGCACCAATTGCCATTCAGTCTGCTCTGAATTCGATTCCACTGGGAGCAGTCCTTGCCCAAGGCTAACCTGAAGAACTCTGCACAAAGCTCCAGCAAATTATGATTTGGATCCTTGGCAGAAATCTGCCGCTAAAAATAGGTGCTGCCTATTAAGCAGACCCCTACAGCCTGAAAACAACCCGCTAATAAAAAGCCAGTGTGATGCCCGTGGCTCAAAAGAATGAGCTGCAAATGTGAGATGGTAACAAATAGAACTTCATCCACCCCTGAACTTCAGGGGGCAGTTAAAGGTAAAGGGACCCCTGACCATTAGGTCCAGTCGTGACCGACTCTGGGGTTGTGGTGCTCATCTCACTTTACTGGCCGAGGGAGCCGGCGTACAGCTTCCGGGTCATGTGGCCAGCATGACTACGCCACTTCTGGTGAACCAGAGCAGCGCACGGAAACGCCGTTTACCTTCCCACCGGAGCGGTACCTATTTATCTACTTGCACTGGCATTCTTTTGAACTTCTAGGTTGGCAGGAGCTAGGACAAAGCAACAGGAGCTCACCCCATCATGGGGATTTGAACCACCGACCTTCTGATCGGCAATTCCTAGGCTCTGTGGTTTAACCCACAGGGCCACCCACGTCCCTTCAGGGGGCAGTTAGTGCTTCTCAAATGCAGCAGTGTTCTTTATGGGAAGGCCCATTTGCAGGGAAGGCAGAGAATCTGAACATAACCGGGTTGTGGATAGCTGTGGCTGACAGCTTTGGAAGAGATGCACCAGTATGCAGACAAATGAACAGGGACTCAAAGGGGCTTAGCTTAGTGGTAGAGCTCTGCACGCAGAAGGACCCAGGGCTGGAAAAGAGCCTCTTCTCTGAAACCCCGGAGAGCCACTGCCAATGAGTGTAGAGAATACTGACCTAGGTGGACCCAGTGGTCTGACTCAGTATAAGGCAGATTCCTGTGTTCCAGTGTGAGCTGCAACAGGAGGTCTCTTTGTCAGGGAGGAGAGGAAACTCTTGTGCAAGATGCCACTTAAAAGTATAAAATGAATGACGGAACCTATACATGGTGTTGTGAGTTTGGAGAGGGGGTTAGGCTGCATGCCTGAGACCCTCCTAATTCCTGGATCCACCGAGGAATCAATTGCTGAAATAGCCAGGCAATTTTCCTGGTCATAGCCCCTAAGCAGTGGCGTAGCGTGGGTTGCCAGGGCCCGGGGCAGCACAGAGGTGGGAGGGAAGGAAATGGACAGAATACACATGCACATTCAATTGCCTAGTGGCGTCTGTGTTACCCAGGAGATCACAATCACTGAGATAAGAAGTGTGGTTCCGTTGTCTGGAGAAGTCGCTTCCTGGTTCGCATGGAGTAGCTGTTTTGAATGCAGCGTGGCAATGGAAGCACACGGCTGTATTGAGACAGGGGGTGCAAAATTTCAACACCTGGTGCTAACAATTTTGCGCCCAGGGCAACCGCCCCTGTGGCTCCCCCCAGGCTACAACACTGTCCCTAAGCATGGGTTGTTAAAGTAACAAAGGAAGTGGCTCTGTGCAGCATTGGATTTAGAGGGGTGTGCGTGGTTCCCCTGGAATCTAGCACCACTCGGAGATTGGGGTGGCCTGAAAGAATATATATAGTTTAATTATGGACATTTTTTAATGCTTTGATGGGATTGCTTTATTGTATATTTTAAATATTATGGACATCGTAGTTTATTTTATACTTGTAAACTGCTTAGAAGCCATTTTGGCATGTAAGCAGGAAATAAATTTAATAATAATAATAATAATAATAATAATAATAATGTATCTCATGCACACAACATTCATGTTCAAGTTCAAGGATTCAAGCCAGGTATTGCGATTCAAGTCTTATCCATCCCTTCTCACATGGTCTTCCATAGCATCTTCTTTTTATATATTAACACCCCAATCTTACCCATTTTGACTCAGAAAGAAATTCCACACAGGCCACGCACCACACGCCATTCCTTTCAAGTGTGCTTAAGGTGCATGGCTTCCTCCAAAGAATCCTGGGAACTGTACTTTATCCCTCCTCAAGCTACAATTCCCTGCAACCTTAATGAACCAAAGTTCCTAGGATTCTTTGGGAGAAGTCATGTGTTTGGAATGTGCTTGGAATGCATGGTGTATGCACAGCCATGAAAAGTTCTCCCCAAGAAGTATGCAACCTGATTCCTTCTGCATGTTTATTTGGAGGTTAGTCCCACTATTCTACTGCTCCCAGTACGTTTCCGAGCACAATTCAAAGTATTGGTGCTGACCTTTAAAGCCCTAAACAGCCTTGGTCCTGTATACCTGAAGGAGCGTCTCCACCCCCATCGTTCAGCCTGGACACAGAGATCCAGCGCCGAGGGCCTTCTGGCGGTTCCCTCATTCCAAGAAGTGAGGTTACAGGGAACCAGACAGAGGGCCTTCTCGGTAGTGGCGCCCACCCTGTGGAACACCCTCCCTTCAGATGTGAAGGAAATAAGCAGCTATCCTATCTTTAAAAGACATCTGAAGGCAGCCCTGTTCAGGGAAGCTTTTAATATTTAACGCTGTAGTGTCTTTAACACTTGATTGGGAGCCACCCAGAGTGGCTGGGGAGACTCAGCCAGATGGGTGGGGTAGAAATAATAAATTATTACTATATACTTATATAATTATATACTATAATTATATAAGTTGGTCGAAGGTCAGCAAACTTTTTCAGCAGGGGGCTGGTCCACTGTCCCTCAGACTTTGTAGGGGGCCGGACTATATTGGGGGGGATGAACGAATTTCTGCACCCCCAAATAACCCAGAGATGCATTTTAAATAAAAGTACACATTCTACTCATGTAAAAACACGCTGATTCCCGGACCGTCCGCAGGCCGGATTTAGAAGGCGATTGGGCCGGATCCAGCCCCCAGGCCTTCGTTTGCCTACCCATGCCTTAGGTCAATAAACACCATATACAGGGGTTGGTTTTGCTCTCTGCATTTTT